GATACAGGGCTTTAGAATATCGATACAGTATCGGAAAATGAAATATCACGATATTTCAATGTATCGATATTTTCTTACACCCCTAATAGTTTGTCTGTCAAGCTTTTACTCTCGTACTTACAACATTTTCTCAAGTTACAACTGCCACATGTCCTTTTGGAGAGTACTACAACAACAAAGTGTCAAGTATAAATACGGCTGGCGAGGGTACCCAAAGCACGACTATAACCCAGTTTTAATAGAAATATTTCCAGTGTGGCCAAGACCAAAATGAATTTCTGCCCTGCAAATTCCATTTTCACACATTTACACTGGTTATCAGTCACTGCCATTGAAGATGAACAACCATATGTTTGTGACTGTGTGTGTTTGTCTGTTGCTAAAATGTCCCATGAACCAGAGAACAGTTTTTAATAATGAATGTAAGAGAGAAGTAATGAGCATGAGCATCTACAACTGATTCCCTTTTGGACCTAACCCGATTCAAGATGGCTGCAACAGCTAAGCTATCTTAGCAAACACAAAACTGGCTATAACTCAGTCTGTTTAACTAGTGTTGAGCTAAATGTTGGTGTTAAGAGCTGAGTCTGATCCCCAACACAAACTCCCAGCTCTAAATGATAACATGAGATCTTTGTGGGAGGCATTGAGGTGGACAGTATCTATCTCTTTATTGAATGCTAGTTTAATTTCCAAATGATCTATGAATGTTTTCAAAGACAAAGAGGGGTAGCAGCAGCTAGCTGTAGCACTTCTAATGCAGTCTGGGGCACTTTAGTTGAAGTGGCTCATGCACATCTAGTGTATCGATAAGCCTCGTGACGTTTGATTGTAAATTTGTATTCTTACAAAAGAAACCAGAAATACAAACTTGAGCTTTAGATTCATCAATACTTGAGTTTGTAAATGATGATTTATTTAAACATTCACACCTTTTTACTTGTGAACACATTCTTTTTAAATAGCACCCTTACCCTGTAACAACCACCTTGATTGGGTCTACTCTCCCAGCTCTAAAGCTCCGCTGTGTGTCGTGCACCAAATGGCCGACATTATCAGTTTCTAGCAGCGAACCAATTAGCTGAAGAGCCGAGACCAGTTCAAACTAAGTATGCATAAAGCAGCACATCATTTGTTCCTCAGGCATTGAGCTCCGGCACGTTCAGTTTGATTGAACTACACTGGATACTGTAATGTGATGCCAAGCCTCAGCCTTAATTTGATGAGGCCCGAACTCAAAGGCTTCATTAGTAACTGGATCTCAGCTGCTAAATGTTGTTTGTGCAGCTGCTTGTTTTAGGTTTATGGTCCATAAAGCTCTTAGAGTCAAGTAATGGTTGCTTGGTTGAGTTGGAAATGTTTCCTCAATATCAGGGTTCAGTATATCAGAAAGATTTTAAGAATCTTGGTGAGATTCCTTATTTTCTGCCACCATGAAAGTTGGACGTTAATGTACTGTAATCGCATGTGTTTTGGTTTCTGGAACCAAAATATCTCATGGACTTTAATGGGATACTTAGAAAATAAATATTGTTTGCAGATCTACAGTTGGTTAACTTTTGAAGTCAGCCTTATTAAAGATGACAGCTTGTCCACTTCAGGAAACAAATGGCTGATTCGAAGTATATTAAATATACACCAACAAAACACAGGACCACACACCCAACATCTGTCCGCTCACCTGAAAAATAAATGGATAAATACATGGTTTTACAGAAAGTGAGTAAAAATTGACACCCCAGATGTGAATGAGTGAGTAATTAACAGGCTTAGCAGAACTTGAAGACCTGCTGAAGAGCATCTAAATCATGCAGGATAGGAGCCTTCGAGGACCAGGATTGGACAAGTGTTAAAACGTTTGCATGCAAAACAGCGAGCCAAATGCCAGTAATTCAAGCACTGCTGGGCCTTCATTGTACTGTTTTCTGCACCTTGTTAGCTGTAGTTAGCATCTCACCTGGTGTCAGCTGGAAAAGAGTTTACTGTTTGTTCATTTATGATTTGAACTGTTAACACTGGCATTTACTTTTGACTTTTCTGCTAACAGAAAAAAAACCTCCCTTTCCTTGTTACCATATGCCAGACCTTAATAATTTACTGAGGCTTAGTTTTGGAGGTGTTATTCAGATTGAGAATTCACATTAAACTTTAACAAAATGTTTCTCAGCTCACACAACTCAGTCAAACAACATTTAGGAGGTGCCAGTCACCCTCAAACAAACACATCTTTCTCTTGGATCCAGATAAGTGAGACCTGAGTTGAACTGGGACGCACAGGCTTGGGCAGGTGCTTTGACAGTGATCGGACCACAGGGTTTATGAGCCTGTGTGTTATTATGCACCGTTCAATAAATCGCTACACTTTGGTAACGTCTCTCCCATTTGAGAAGCTGCAAATGTCACAGGGAAAAAAATGTAACAAACAGATTTATTGTCTGTTTTCTGTTCCATTTGATGTATTATGAGGACGATGAGTCAGCATTCACACTGTTTTTTGTAGTGGTTTTTTTGTTTCTTTTACAATTGCTTCTGCATACTTTGTGATATTTTATTCATTCATATATCAAAACACTCAGCTTCATTCAGGAGAATTATGACTTTTGATTTTTTTTTGTAACTTGCATTCATTGGTTTGTTTTGTTTTTTTCACCTGCTGCTTCTTTACGGGTCGTGGGTTCTCCAGCAGTTTTTGGGTGAGAGGTGGAGGAAACCCTGGACAGATCACAAGTCCATCACAGGGACACACAGAGACAAACAAGCATTCACCCTCAGTCTGCACCCGTTTTTTTCACACTGGGCAAAAAAAGCATTTAAACCAGCTGAAGTTAAGTTTAGAGCACAGTTAGAAATGTACACCGAAGGAAAATGGCATCACAACTTTTATACTGCGGTCAGAGCTAACGTGATCTGCAGCGTCTGTCTGCTGCACGGCAGCAGCTCTAACGTAACAGCAAGAAAGGACCGAGAGCTTTTTATTTTAATCCAGCAGGGAGAACAATACAGGTGTTCTTCTATGCCTCCTGTGAGCAGTTCCAGCATTTTTTAAAAGAAAAACAACGTGGACACGCTAATTACAGTGCGGTTTCAAACCGAAAGTAAAAACATGGAGCTCGCTGCGCTCCCGTTCGAAGAGAAACAAACACACAGCTGTTCTCTCTACCACACATAGTCCGACACAGAGGGCAGAAACAGCTAAATTAGACAATTAAATCACATTAAAAGTTCATAACTCATGCTTTATTTTTGTTGGCACTCTGTGGAGATTGTGCCGAGGCTGTCACTTTTAACAGTGAACACCAGAGGGCGCAATTAACCGCTTTCTTTGAGGCATCGAAATTAGAGTTGTGTTTCGTCTGTGTACTACTGTTGATCTTCGCCCCGGTGCCGTACTGGAACCCAGTTTCGGTACCCAACCCTACTCTTGGAGGAGTAAGATGCTTTTTCCTTCTCTCCTGCCCTTCCTTATCTTCCCTGCTTTGCTGCTTGGAGCCTTCTCTACGTTTTCATCCGAAACCAGAAATTATGGATATTTTTATTTTTATGGATTTGGTTAGCTGGTCTCTTAATAAACTTTTTGGAACAAAGTTTTTTCTTCCATGGGAGGACGTGTCAAAGGTAGGACCTCTGTTCTGCTCTATTCTGGATATATATTTGGATTCCGATCACGGGATTCTACAGATTGGCTTGGTGGTCTCCTGGTGTTTTACAAAACAGCAACGGTGGTTGTTCATTTCCTGGCCGTCTGACCAATGTGAAGGATTGCCGTTCTATCAGCACTCAGACTTTTGCCTTGAGCGAGCTAGCCTCAGTCTGCAAGCGGGACTGAGGCTCTGCCGCCCCCCACCCACACACACACACACACACACACACACACACACACACACCACACCTGTCTGTGATCTGGTTCCTGGAGCAAGCTGAAGGCTGCACAGAATGAACACTTAACATCCATATTCTGGACTATGGCTGCGCTGGTTTTTGGGGACTCGATTTTTCGGGCTCTTTTCAGATATTCACACAGGTGCATACAACACTCATGGCTTCAGATACACGCCCCCCTACACTCACTCCTCTGGCTAATAAATGTGCTCTGCAGAGGTATTTTTAAAGAAACACCATCGTGTGTCACATTGCTGATATAATATGATGTTTTATTTTTTCCCCTCATCTTCCCTTGTGTGGTTTTTAGTTTTTCTGTTAAGGGTTGCACCTCCTCATGATGTCTTCATGAAGATGATCCTTGCTCTGTGCAGAGTCTGTGGCTGCATGACCCAGAGCACCTGTTCTCCTGTGTTTGTTATGTTCTGTCTTCTTCTGAATGGGTATTCTGAATTGTAATTTCATTGTGCTCTGTACAATGACAATAAAGCTCTAATCTAATCTAACTTTAGCTAACCTTTTTGCTACTTTTAACAATTACGTAGCTAGCTTACTTTTAGCTTTTTGATACATCCATGTAGCTAGATATAGCTGTTGCCTACCATTCGCCTACAATACTTGTGGGTTTTAGTTAGTACTTAGCTTCCCTTAGATTTAATGTCTTTAGCTTGCTTTTAGACAACCTTTTACTACTTTAACAATGAGCCAGCCATTTGCTGCTTTTAGCTTGCATTGTGCTTCTTTTAGCATTTAGCCAGTGTTTTGGTCCTTTTAGCTGTTTACTAGTTTTGTGGGGGTTTTTTGTTAGTTTTTTTTTTTTTTGCTGACAGTTTTAGCTTCTTTAGCACATTTCAGCACACATGCAGTTCTCATTGTTCACACTGCATTTAGCAGAAAATACAAATTTCTAGTTCAGAACATTTTTTTTCTGGTTGAGTGAAACAAAGTTTCACCAAAGTCGACGCTCAAAACCAAGTTCAAAGGATGGAAAGTCATTTTTTTATGAGGTTGACCTTTCTGTATGATGATAGTGCTGCAGATTCATTACCCAGATTACACAACATTAAATTTGCATTTAAAATGAAGGCGCTTTTTAAAATCTTTTTCCTCTGTTCTGTCAGGCATGAGATCAGGGACATCCACCTCGTGGAGGAGAGCGTGCTGGAGAGCCTGAAGGTCAAAACCGACTTCCACAACTTCAAGCCACGCCCCTTCAACATGCGGGAATTTTATGACCGCACGGGTCACGACATCAAAGACATGCTGCTGTCCTGCCACTTCCACGGCACCGAGTGCAGACCTGAAGACTTTAATGTGGTGAGTGTTTTTGACCCGGCAGGCTGGTGTCTGACGGCTCTGCCTCTGGCTTCAGGTGCAGCTGGTAAATATTTAAAAATTGGACTGCAAATATCTGGGCCAAGAAAATAAAGCTGGTATTCCTTCAAGGAATGTGAGCTATATTTACTCTCTTGTACAATAATCAAATCCAACCAACCCAATCATATTATATAATCACATTTAGGATTATGAGATAAAATGAGAGGAAATAAGCAACAGGATCACACAAACAAGAAAAAAAGGGGACAAAACATATAACTGAAACAAAATTTAAAAAAAAATACAATAATGCAGATCACATTAAATTAAGTGTTTACCATCAGCTTTAAAATCCATAATTTAGAGAATAACTTCATCAGTTTCCTAATATTTGAGCATCATAGCTTAGTGGTTAGTACTGTTGCCTCAGAACAAGTTGGTTGTGGGTTCAATCCCCAGTTTGGACCTGGGGTATTTCTGTGTGGGGTTTGTATGTTCTTGTGTTTTCTCTGGTTTCCTCTCTTGAAAAAGAGATCTGTGAGCTCACTGGGATTTACCTGGTTAATGAAAGAGTAAACGGCTGTTTGAAATGTAAATATATTGTTCAAACAGGTCAAACTAATAAGTTCAGTGCAGTAGAGGAAGTGTTGGTGTGAAAAAGGGAAGTTCAAACTCAGCCTCGGTACTTTGTTTGTCCCCCTTTATAATTCATCCCGACATTCCTCCGACCTAAATTCATACATTAGAAATCATTGAGGGAGTTCAGTTTTCTCCGACACACAGTTAACTAGAGAAGCAAAGAGAGGAACATCGGAGCGGCGGGTGAAACTCTGCTAGCAGCTTCTGAAATGGTGGCTCTGAGTTATGTCCTGCGATCACAGATGGGAGTGAGCAACAGCTAGAGTCAGCACCCCGTCTGCTTAATTGATGGGCAGCCACTGAAATGGAAGTGATATTACAATACATTATTAATGTCCGCCCACGCAGATCTTGCACCAGCCTAACGACCGGAGTCAGAGCTGAGCTGTAGGTGCACTCAGCTTAACGCTGCGCCGCTGCTGCCAGGCTCAGACTGACCGGGTTACACGCTCGGTCTAAAACGAGGCACGCTGCTGGAGATTATTTGCTGACTTTTGCTGGTGCTGCACAACAAGTTCATGTAACATGACATTAAAGGCCCGCGGGAGCGAGGTGGCTGCAGACAGGAGCTGCAGTGACTCTCCTACACCAACAACCCTGCATGAAATATCAAAAGCATCAGCAAATAAAATGTTTTCTGCGTAGTCCACACAGCCCAGGGTTCATTTTTTATCAGCTGTTTGATCTGAGATTTTATCAAGAACTAAAACCTGCTTGGATCATAGTTTCTGTTGTGTGTGCGCTCATGTGTCTGTTAGCAAAATATCTCATCAAGACTAGAAGGATTTTATGAAACTGTCAAAGTAAATCTTGGATAAACCTCCACAGTTGAATAACTATGATTCAAGATGGCTGCCACCTCTAATTTACATTAGCCGAGACTAGGGTTGGGCATAATCGTATCGTGTGCAATTAATTGTCAGTAGAACATTAATCGATTATTTTTTGGCACTTGACGATTAATATGATTAATGCCACCAGGGGAGATTTCTCCAGTCAGTCCACTCGGTTCTCCTCTCTGCTTCAAATATGACGAACATTAAAAACAAGTTTTCTAATTTATTTAAATATCAACACAATTTAAAATTAATGTACAGCCTGAAGTCTGTAATTTTGACACAATTTGGAACAGATTTTTACGAAGAGCAAATCTTTCCCACTAAATTGGTCATGTGACCAGGACCTAATGGTGTACAGGGACTCCAGGGCATAAATCGTCATATTAATCGTTATCGGCTAAATACCACAATTAATCGTGATTAATTTTTTTGCCAATATTGCCCAACCCTAGCCAAGACAAAATCAGCTAAAACTCTGTCAGTTTTACAGATTTTAAGCTAAAATTCGACGTGTAGCTGAGAGTCTTATATTTTAAGTGTGATGTCACACAATATTGCACAAGACTGTCCGTGATTATTTTTTTCATGGCTTACCAAAATGTCTACTTTTTTGTCCTTTCTTAACACGACCATATCAGTTTAAAACTCTGGCATGAAAGGAGATGTGGGAATATGCTCTTCTTTAAGAAATACTTGGAATTTTAATTTATTTAAAGGCACAGTGTGTAGGATTTTGTCAATTCTTTTAGCCGAAATTGAGATAATCACTAATGACAATAATAAAAAACATGTCTAATCATTGCAGACAAAGATCTTGTTTTATTATTTTTACCTTATAAAAAGCTGTTTATATCTCCATGGTCGCGGGTCGCCACTACAGGCAGCCTCCATCTTGCACCGCCATCTTGCCTACAAAGGCTCATGAAGGACAAACTGCGGTGGCGGTGTCAAAAACGGTTTTAGTTGTAATACTATAAATGTAATATTTGTTGTCTGTCATTGTAGCTGGGATAATTTTACTTATTAAAGCTCATAATCTTACCACTTGAAACATCACTAGCCCTGAAGCTGCTGGTAGACATCGCGGTTGGAATTATCAAAGGTTTTTGACACCTGAGAGACACCGTAGCAACTCCTTTGTGTTTGGAAGTGGGGGGTGGGGGTGGGGGAGGACCAGGGAGGATGATTCAACCACTCAACCACTAGATGTTGCTGAAAACAACAAATCCTACACACTGTGCCTTTAAAGTATTTTTTACAGTAAATATATTATTGTAGTTTTCAAAACAGCCATTTTTTATCACTAAACTGCAAACAGAACTTGTCAAAATGTTATATTGGTGATGAAGTAAAAAAAATGAAATAAACCCACAATGAAAAAAATGTTTCAATGAATTCAAAAAACACGACACGTTCTCCTGACCTGAGGGCAGGTGCTGCTTTTATCTGTGTAATTGGTGTGCACTGAGAAACGTCTCGATACTTGTTTGTATGGAAACACACTGAGCTTTTTTGGTTTGAAAAGAAGTTGTTTTTCAAATGTCTAGGCTGAAGTCAGGGTCATTGGGCAATGAAAGTGAATGTTTTGTGGATGTATAGCTGCCAAGCAGATGATATGTGATGTTATTTGAAATTATAATTTTTTTTAGACAAATACAAGTTCATCTCCATCTTTTGTGAAAATACTGGAGGTATCTAGTTTAGCTTTTTTTCTGTGACACTTTGTGAAAAGATGTCGTGTTTTAGTTTGCCTGCACAATAACAACACTTACATATTATTTTCATCTGAACCACATTTGTTTCCTTTTTCAACTCTCAGCTGAATGTAGGGACGTCTCCATGTCTGGGACTGAAAACACCACAAACAACCCAACCCTGAATGGTTTTCTTTCACAGTTTACCAGCCAGACTTGTGTGTCTCGCATAATTTAAGTTGCTCGTGTTTTAACAAAACTAAGTTAAAGGAATATTTTAGACATTTTGAAATGATGCTAAGATATAAGACTTCTGCTGCCTTTCATTTTTTTTCTTCTGTTATAGAGTTTGTTTTTTAATGAAATGAATAATAATAAAAAATGTTCTGTAGATTATGAATAAATAATATCTTACCTGTTGATGTCTTTCAACAACCTGAATTTGGCTAATATGTGACCAGACTGATGAGCTGACATCTGTTTACTGTGGTTGTTTTGTCCGCTGTAATAGCAGTAGCAGCAACTAGCTGTAGCATCTCCAGTGCAGCCTGGGGACTTCCACCAAGTATTGTAATATTTCTGTAAGATTTTGCATGAACCGCTGACATTTTTGAAATTTTGGAGTTGTTTTAACTTTAAATCGGCAAAGTTTGCTTTGAAGCCAGCCTGTTCATACTGACCTTTATTTAGCTTGTTGTTAGACCCACTTCCAAATGGTATTTTGCTTTAATAAAATCTTCAGTAATTAAAATTTTATTTCTGTTGATGGAAATTTTGTTGTTCAAATCATTTCACTGTCTTCAGTTTCACATTACATGGTTATTTCCAACAGAAATATGTCATACAGCTTATTGCTGCAGCGGCAACTTAAGAATTTCATGTAAATATGGAATGTGTTGTGAAGCTAACAGCAGGTTAGCTGTAGCACTAGCATTGCGATTAGCATTTACATACAGCGGGTAAAGTAAGTATTGAACATGTCACCATTTTCTCAGTAAATATATTACTAGAGGTGCTAATGACATGAAATTTTCACCAGATGTCGGTAACAACCCAAGTGATCCATACATACAAAGAAATCAAACCATAAATGTCCAGAAATGAAGTTATTTGTAATAATGTGGAATGGCACAGGGAAAAGGTATTGTTTAAAGTAATACATACTTTGTACAAAAGCCTTTGTTGGCAACGACAGCTTCAAGACGCCTCCTGTAT